CTGGAACAAAGGAGAATGAAGAAAACCAAAGACACTAAGGAAAATATTAGTCAAAGGACTAATGGACCACTTGAACCACAGCCTCCACCAGCCTGAGCTCAGAAGAACTAGATGGTGCCCGGCTACCACCACTTGACCACTCTAATAGGGATCACAGTAGAGGGTCCTGGACAGAGCAGGAGAAAAAATGTGGAACAACATTCATATTCACAAAAATAAGACCAGACCTACTAGTCTGGCAGAAACTGGAGGAACTATGGCCCCTGGGTGCCCTGCTATCTCAGAACTGAAGACACTCCTGAAGTCTGCCTTTCAGCTAAAGATTAGATGGTCCTATAAAACAGACAGTAACAAGTGAGGAACTCCTTCCATCAAGTATATGAGACCAGTGGGCACCACATGCCCGAAAGCATAGAAGGCAGGAAGGGACAGGAAAACTGGGCTAATGAACACAGGGAACCCAGGGTGGAATGGGAGAGAGTGTTGACACATTGTGCGGATTGCAGCCAGTGTCACAAAACAATTTGTATATAAATTTTTGAAGGAGAAACTAGTTTTCTCTGTAAACTTTCACCTAAAGCACAATAAATTTTTTTTGAAAAACTCATACAAGGTCATTGTCAAATAGTATAAGTACGTATAAATAAGAGTGTACAAATCAGCCACAATCTAACATCCAAAGGTAAGCCATGGTGACATTTTTGGTCAGCCTTGATTTTCACTCTCTGCCTCTTACCAGCTTGACACCTCTGAGTGTCATCTCCCATCTGAGAACTGGGGATAATACTTACCTTATGAACTAAATGTAAAAATGAAAGAAAAACCATGCAAAATCTTTGGCAAGTAATAGATCCTAATTAAATATAAGTTCACTCAGTGATGCCACTGAAGGGCATAGGAGGTAAGTAGGTAGTAGGGAGAAAAATCTCAGTTCCTTTTTCCCCCATTTTAAGTTCTGCTATTAAATTCCTTTGAAGCAGTTAAAACTATAGAGACACATCCCTTCGGGAGCAAGGGAGAATGAAGAGAACAGGATACAAGGAAAAGATTAGTCCAAAGGACTAATTGTCCACAGCTACCAAGGCCTCCACC